CCTCAGTTGGACAGCAGTGACGGACTCTACAACAAGCCAAGGCACCAGGTTACCTGGTTCCCTACCTGGAACCACCGAGAACTCAAGGGAGGACTGGAGGGCGGTGATCAACCGCCTCAAGAAATAATGTGGACATGGCTCCATGCTCACCATTGGGTGGAGCGCTGTTTGTGACCAGGAGTCTGGACCCCACTCCGCCAAAGACCCGCAGCGTCGCAACCCTGAATTCTGCCAAGGTTTCGTTCAAGACCTCAGCGAGGGTAATTACGACGTGCGCAGGCACTACTGGAAGAACGGCGTACACGTCGACTGGAACGCTGAGTGGTATCGCGAGCTTGGCAGGCGAAAGCATAATGCTGACCTCGCGAAAAGGCAAAGGGAAGGGTGCCCCGCCCCACGGGAAAGGGAAACCGCCAGCGGACTCTTGGTGGCTTAGCAACGACCCCTCCCGCCAGCGCGGGCCAGCTTCAAGCAGCCACCGCTGGTAGCTTCCATCAGCAGCCACCCTACGACCTCGTCCTGTACTGAGCGTGACACCCCCGCCCTGGCATTGGCTTTCTAGCCGCTGCCCTCCCCTCCCCTCCCTGCCCTCGTGGCTTTCTCACATCGTGCACCTCCTCCTCCTCCTCCTCCTCCTCCTCCTGCCCCTCCCCCTCCCCCTCCCCCTCCTCCTCGTCCTCCGCCCCTCTCCTCCTCCCTCCTCCTCTCCTCCTCCTCCTCCTCCTCCTCTCCTCCTCCCTCCTCCTCCTCCTCCTCCTCTCCTCCTCCTCCTCCTCCTCCTCCCTCGTCCTCCTGCCCCTCCTCCTCCTCCTCCTCCTCCTCCTCCTCCTCCTCCTCCTCCTCCTCCTCCTCCTGTTCGGCGCCCCCCCGCAGGCCCCCAGCCCTCGCTCGGGGCCTGCCCGCTGCTTTTCCAACCCGCCCTCGCGGCTGCCTCCCATCGTGCACTTGTTCGGTGCGCCCCGCGCAAGCCTCCCCCCGCTCGGGGCCTGCCCTCTTCTCGCGCTCACGCGCGGGGCGCCCGCGCCTGAGCCGTCGCGCGGCCGGCTCCCATCGCGGCCGCCTTCTCCGGGTTGGCCCCGATATTGCTGGCTGGTCTTGCGGCCCGCTCGTGACCTACGTGCCGCCCCTCCTGCCTGCTTTGGAGTGCCCTGCTCCGCCGCCGCCCCCTGCCTCTTGGGGCGCGGGCCTTCTGCAGGTTTTGTCCAGGCTGTGCCTGCGGCACCCCTCGGCCCTTGCTTTGCTTCGCCAGCCGGGCGGTACTCGCATTGGCGCCTGTGCCCCCCCCCCCCCCCTCCTTTGCCTAGTTTTCTGCCCCCCCCCCAGGACCTGCTACCGGTGTGTGGCCGCTGTCGCTCCCTTGTCGCTTCGCTCGCGTCGGCTGCTCAGTTGGCTCTCTGCCTCTGGGTCCATCCGCTCGCTTTCTTGGCTTGCTGCCCTCCATTGGGCGCGGCCTTCCTGCCCGCCGCCGACTGGCGTCAGGACTCGGCGCTCCCCATCCCGCGTTCTGCCCACCTGGGCCGCCGCTCCTCCTCGCTTGGTCTCGGCGCTCCCCACCGTTGTCGATGTTGGGGGTTGGGGTTCCCCCCCGTCGGCGCGGGTCGAGGTCCTGGCCGCTCGTGTCTTCCCGCCGCCGTTTTCGGCCGCTTTCGGTCCACTCTTCCTGGGCGGTGCCTCCCCAGCCGTCGCCCCCGCGACCGCGCCTCCCCCCGCGTCGCCCCAGTCTCGGTGCTTCGCTTTCTCTCTGGGCCAGGCCTCGGTGGGCCAGGCCTCGGTCCGCTGGGTTGGGCGCCGCCACCTCCGGTGCCCTTTTTTGCCCAGCTCCGGGCTGCTTGGCCCCTGTTTCCGCCTCCTTGCGCCTTTGCCGCCTCGCACCCCCTCGTGCCCGCGGCGCAGCGCCTGCTGCTGAGGTTGGCCCGCTTGGCCCCCCCTCTCTCTTTGCACGCACCTCGCAGGCCCGCCGGTCTCGGTGCTCCAGCTTCCCCCTGGGCTGTGCTCGGTCCAGGGTTGGGCTCCGCTTCGTTTTCTCGTCACCGCCGTCTGCAGCTCAGTGCAGTTCAGTACAGTCTTTGCTGTCGCTGCCCCCCCGGCGCTGTCCCCAGCCGCTACCGGCAGCTCTGAGTTGCCCGGCTTCCTAACCCCCCGTCGCGCTGGGGCTCCTCCTCTCCTCCCGTGCATTGCGGCCGTAATTTGCATACAGCGTGTCCCCTGTTGCTATTCCGCCGGAGCAGTCGACCTCTGCCCAAACGCCGACGCAAAAAAAAATGCGCGCGCGCGTGCGTGCATACAGCCGCGGGTTCAGCCGCGCGCGGCGCCCGCACGCGGGCCTTCTGCATGCCCGCGCGTGCTCGCGGCGCCCTGCGGACGGTGCGTTTCCTCTGGTGAATCGACGGCGTGGGGGCGGAACCGCTGGCGCTCCGCAGGTGCGCTTCTCGCAGATGCGCGCGCGCACGGAGTTCCGCGACGGGCAGACCCTGGAGTTGACGAGCGAACAGCAAGAACCCATACCCATAAGGGGGGGCGGAGGGGGGCTATGGGTGCGTGTGGTCGGATGCGGGTCCCCGTTCGAACGAGAGCTTCCCCCAGCGTCACGTCCGACAACCCGCGCCCATACAGTCAACGCGCCCAGGACGGGCGCGCGCCTTCATCTAGGGTGCCCTTGTGTCCTTGCCTCTGCGGCCCGTCCTTTGCCGTCTTTATTGGTCGCCTGCCGCCGACAGCAAATCCCATCCTCGGCTCCCAAGGGTCTTGCGTCCCCACCACCCGTCCTTAATACACTCTTTGACTGTAGCCAGTCCTCCTCCCTCCGACCTTCCTATGGGTGTGGATGTATGTTACTCGCTCGTCAGGAATCGGCGATGCCTGAGATCAAGGCCGTGCGGTTGCCCGAGGCGGACAGCAGCGGGGCCTTGTGGTTGCTAGAGGCGCGAGGGTTCGCGACGAAAGGAGGGGCTGAAACGCCACAGCGGGTCCTCACGAAAACCGACAGGCAGGGCCTGCTTTCCTGCCCCCGTGGGCAGTCGTGGGAAGTTCCTTTTGGGGCCGTGCGTCTGGGCTCGCCGCAGAGCGCTCTCGGGCCGTGTGGCGCCTTCGGAGGCCGTCCCGCTGGGCCGTCGTTGGGGTTCTCTTGGGGCCATTTCGGGTCGTTTTGGGGCTCTCTTGGGCCGTCTTGGGGCCACCTCGGGGAATATTGTAGCTGTCGTGAGGTCCTCTGGGAGCCTAGTTGGGCTGGTTTGTGCTGGTCATCTTAAACTCATCGGTCCGTCTTGGACGCATCGACGACTGAAAACATTACAGCACGCATCGAGCATCCCACGTGACGTATTCCCATTTGTTTTTCCCAACCATGCTGTGGTGTTGGGTCCTGGTTCTGAAGAGACGGTCCCCGCGTTCACTCCTCCTCCTCCCGTTGCCCCCTCCCTCATCTCATCATGATAACAACTTTAGTGTGGAGTGTGCTGGGACAGGGTTTCAGTGGCCGCACTTCTGTAATTGTTTGTGCTCAAGCTTTTGAGGGGCAGGCGAGCCGCCGCCACGCGTTTCTCTTCGGATCCCTCGCGCGGCGCCTCGCTGGCCTTGGTGGTGTGGTCGGCTACGCCCTCATCGTCGCCCGCGGGCCCTGCCTGTCCGTGCCCGTGCTCCCCGCCGTGCAGCGTCGCTTGCCCACACATCGACTGGCCCCACTCGCTGCAGGTCTTGACGGGCTGGTGCAATCACACCGTGTTCTTCTGCCTCGGGTGGCTGGTGGGCGTCTTCGGGGTGAGCGCGATCTGGAGCTGGAGTTCGCAGGTGGCAGGGGGGAGAGCCTCCGTCCCCTTGGAGGCTGTTAGTGCGGATGCGGAGGGCTGGGCGCAGTCGTTCGTGTAGTTTCACCCGTTTGTTTTCGCAGCAGCTGGGGACCGTCATTCAGAATGCCACGACCAGGTGATGTGCACGCCTGTCGATATCGTGTGGGGGGACTTGAAGTATATCATGAGCCGATTACATCGCTGGACTGCCGCGTGCGCCCGATGGGGCGCGGCTCAGCTGGGCGGCGGGCGCTGGTCTTCGTCACGGCGGCCCTGCTAACCCCCTCTTCGCCGCAGGCGGACGGGCCAATCGGAGGTCCGCGGCGACGCAGGGGGGGGCTCGGTCACATGAGGTGCGACTCGGGCGGCCCGCTGGTGTGGCACTCGGGGTGGAAGGCGGAGGCGTGGTTGCACGACTCGGACTGGATCTGCCAGCAGCATGAGATGAATCGCAGGCGGGCTGAGCTTGGCAGTTGCTACGACCAGGTGACCTGCGCAAAGTTTGCGTCGCTCGAGCCGATCTGCCGCCAGATCCAGCTCATCGAGGTGCTGCACTACGAGGACACCGTCACCGCGCAGGTGGTCGCGGGGGACACGACAGGGGGGAAGGACAAGAGCGCCGAAGCCGCCAGCGAGATCTTGCTGGTGATCGAGGCGGACCACTACATGGGGGGCTCGGCGAGCATAGGCAACCTGTGCGCCGCAGCAGCACTCACGGACTTCAATTTCGACCAGTTGGAGGCGGAGGCCACCATTGCCGAGCAGAGGCGCTTAGCCCGCGGGGAGCGGGCGGCGTGCTCATAGCCTTTCGAGAGCCTGCGTTTTCGTGGGGGCCGCGCCTCCACCAGTGTTTTCACGATGGACCCTGGAGTTCGTCAGCGTGATGTGTTTCCCCTACCTGCTCTGGCGGTGGGCGCCCGCGCGGAAGCCTGCCGCGGCCGTCGGGGGCGCCAGCGCGCCCAGCGCGGCGCTGCTTGGCGGAGATGGGCTAACGACGGCATCGCAGCCCTGAACCAGTTGAGTGGCCATTTCTCTCCTGCGTCTACTCCGCCTGGGTTAACAGCCTCGGCGGCGCAGGGGGGCGCGATGGATCGCATCTCTCGGGCCTATCAACATTTCCCGCTTCCTCCTGACTATCGCGAGGATGCTCATTCGGGCGAAGCAGCCTTGACAGAGCTGCTCGCGTCGGCGCCTGGGTATTCCTCTGATTCCCAGCGCGTCAAGCCCTGCGACAAGGACCTGGTGTCCTGGCCTGATCTTTCGACGGCTCCAGTTGATGTCGCTGATCTCGTCGGGGAGGCCGAGCGCGAGTGTTTGTCGAGATGGGGGCGGACCGTGCTCAAGAGTGAGTCGTCTGCTTCAGATCTGAGTGCGGCTTCGGTGCCGCAGCGCCCTTGCGTCGACCCGATTTTGGGCAGCAGCCCCAGGGCCTGCGCCGGCTTCGCGGGGGAGTTGCTGCAGGGTGGTATGATCTCTTTCCGTGTGGCGCGAGTTGATGATCCTTATAGCTTGGGCTTTTTCTTTGTCGAGAAGGTTTGCAAGGGCACGCTTCGCCCCGTCTTCGACGCGAGGGTGGCGAACGAGGGTTTCGCGGCCCCGCCCAAGACCACGCTCCCCGCGGCCGCGGCGCGGGCCGCCCTGGAGTCGGACAACCTCGCGGCGCTGGCCCGGGGCGACATCCAGCGCGCGTTTTGCCACATGCTCGTGCCGGAGGGCATGGAGGAGCTGTTTACGTTGCCTCATATCTCCAGTCGTTTGCTCAATGTCAAGCAGCTCGACGGCCTCCCCATCCCTCCCGACGGTCTCCTCCGGCCGATGGTGCGAGTCCCGCCGATGGGCTGGAGCTGGTCGCTGCTGTTCTGCCGGAGCATCATGGGGGGGGCGCTCCTGCATTGCGGGTTCGGCGACGGTGTCCTTATCGAGGTTGGCCGCCCGAGCCCCGCCCTCTCTTCGAAGGACGGCGTGGCAGCCGCGGGCTACGTCGACAACTTCGCCATCGTGGGGGGCGGCCCCGTTGCTGTCACTTCCAAGAGGGATGAGGTGACCCGCGCGCTGGAGGCTTGGGGGCTACCTGTGCACTCGCTCGACGCCGCCTCGGCCGTATCCGCGTTCACGGGTCTCGAGATCAATGGCGAGCCTGGGGCCGTGAGGGTGAAGCCTCGGAGCGCCATGCGCCTTCGGCAGGCGCTGGTGGCGGTTTCGCGGCGAGGCGCCGCCTCGCCTCGCATGCTCGAAGTCCTTCTGGGTCACATCACGTGGGCGGCGATCTGCAAAAGAGAGAGACCCGCTGCATCCTGTCGTCTGTATGTGCTTTTAAGTCCCAGAAAGACCCTGGAGTCAGGCCCCTGTGGGCCTCCGTCAAGTTCGAGCTCTGGTGTGTGGCTAGTACGTTACCGTTATGGACTTCGCACATGCATACCCCCTGGGGCTCCCACGTCTCGGCTTCGGACGCCTCGCTTATCGATGTGGGCGTGTGTACTCGCAGGGGGGTCGGGCCTCGGGTGGCCGAAATTGGGAGGCCGGCGGAAAGGTGGGGGCATCGTTGCACTGCGGCGGTTTCGGCACGATCGAACGCGCTGGGCCTTGGAAGGGGCCCCCGACGACTCCGACATCATTGAGGGGTTCTTGGACTCGAGCCCTGCGGGCTTCTGCAAGGGCTTCCACGAGATCCCCGAGGAGCTCGTGCAGGTCTCGTCGTGGGTCACCGTGATCTCCAGGAGGCATTGGAACCCGTCCAAGAACATTGTAGAGCACGACGGCGACGCTCTGCGTGACGCAGTTCGGCACGCCACCCGCAAGATTTCGCTCCATCACCATCGCCTTCTGTTTCTCATAGATCATGCACCTTTGGCTCTAGCGGCGGGCAAGAGTCGAGGCCGCAAGCTTACCCTTGGGCGACCATTGCGGAGGATCGCCGCGCTCTCGCTGGCCACCAGCCTTCGGTGCTATGTGCGGTGGATACCCTCGGAGCTGAAGGTAGCGGACGGGCCATCTCGCCGTGGTTTCTTCCACGGCAAAAGTTACAGGGAGGCGCGCTCCTTCTCGGCAGATTTTTCCGCCTAGAAGCTGATTGCTGTTTTGATCGTGGCGGCGCAGGCGGCGGCTCAGCCTCGGGTCGAGGGGTGGCGCGGGGGGGCCCCCAGCTTCTTCGAGAACGCCGCGTTGTCGGACCCCGCTCGGGCTCGGCACCCCTGCCGCGCCCTGCGCGCCCTGGACTGGTTGGGCTGGCGCGTGCTGAACTTCGCCACCGCCAGCCAGCTGGACTGCATCCCCGTGTGCTGCCTGACGGACTTGCCCCTGGGCGGCTTCGTCACAGCGGCCGGGGGGATGACGGTCGCGGCGATGCGCCACCTCCTGCCGCTCATCCCCGTCGGGAAGCGGCCACCCCCGCGGTCGGTGCGAACCCTCGATGGGGGGCGCCGCCTGATGCCGCCGCAGTCGCGCCTGGTTCTTCCTCGCTTGGTCGCGGTTGCAGTCGCAGGCTGGCTCATGTGGAGGAACCTGCCCAGCATGGCGGTCATCGTGGCGCTGGTCTGCCACGCGTGCCTCAGGCCGTCGGAGGCCTACAGGCTGCGCGTGGGCTCGCTGATGCCGCCGATCTCAGGGTCGGGCGTCAACCCGCGGGGCATCGTCGGGGGCGAAGCGAAGCCGGGCCGCCCTGGCATGGCTGGGGTGATGGACGAGTCGGCGCTGGGCAACGCCCCCGAGCTCTGGCCCGCGCTGCGCGCGCGGATGCCCAACGCGTTTGCGGACGCCAGCCTCTGGAACTTCAGGCCCGTCGTGGTGCGCGCGATGTTCCGCCAGGCCTTGCGCGAGCTGGGGCTGCGGCAGGAGTCTCTGTCGGTGTGCGCCCTTCGTCGCGGGGGGAACTCGCGCGACTTGCTCTCGGGTGCTCGTGCGATAGCGGGGGTCAAGCAGACGTGGAGATGGACATCAGACACGTCTTTGATGAGGCACGGCAAGAGGAGTGGCATTCAGCAGCGGATCAGGGGCCTCTCGCCCCAGATCGCCGAGTTCGGCGTGCTGGGGTTCGCGAGGCTCTCGGTGTTGATCGTGAGCAAGCTCGTGAAGGGCCGCTTCCCGTTGCCAGTGCCGCTCCAGTCGGCGCCCGCCCTGCCGTGGGTCGAGAAGCGGGCGCCCTTTCTGTCCAGAAAGTAGGTTCGCGCATGTGTTCTGCCTTCCGACGTGCCTTCGTGTGGGCGCCCCGTCGCCGTCGGCTCGTTTTGCCAGTGGTTGGGCCCCGCGGGGCCCCCATTTGCAAAGCGCTGCGCCGTCGCGGTTTGGGTTGTCCCTCAAATGTGGGCCTTGCGCTGTGCGAGCAGGGCGTCGTCGATCGACTCCTTGGGTGGGTTCCTTTGTCGGCGGTCCGTGCTTGCTGGCTTTCTTTGCCGCGCGGGTCTTGGATCGAGTGGGTCCCCGCCTGCCCGCGCAGTGTCTGACCCGTGGGGTTGGGCCGCGCCTGCTGGCCTGCGGTTGCAGCTCCCGGCTTTTGTAGCGGGCAATGTCGAGATGCGCGCAGCCCTCAGAGTCATTCGTGCTTGTGTCGACTTATGTGTACCTGTCTGTCTTGCGCACCCGCGCGCCAGCCTCATTTTTGCGTTGCCTGAGTTTCGGGCGTAGTCAGTCTCCCGTCTTTTCGTTTAGTAGACCTGGACCTCGGTCAATTCGGAGCGGCCACCCGTTCGGCCACGCGAATGTTTTGCCGGCGCTGTCCTCAGCTCCAGCGCCCGAACGTTTGTTGCAGTCTGCGCGGGAAGGTGTGCTCGGCATCGGGGCGGCCTCATTTACAATTCGACGGTCGAACGGCCAGAGGCGTGGCGCGCCGCCACAAAGCTGCGCGGTTCCCCGTCCGAGCTGCAGAGTTGGTGGCCGACTTCCTCGTCGAGGCTATAGGTGGCCTGTCTCGGTCCAGGATGTAGGATCTCTGCGGCCTTCGGCCATGCTGTAGTGTTACACAGTGTACGTCTGTGCTGCCTGCAGTGGCCATCGCCGCTCGTGTCGTGAGGCGTCGCGTCTTGCCCTCGCCACCGTCAGCTTTTCTAAAAAGGGAACGCCATGGCCACGGCGACCCTCCTCGGCATGATAACAACTTTAGTGTGGAGTGTGCTGTGACAGGGTTTCAGTGGCCGCACTTCTGTATTTTTTGTGCTCAAGCTCCCAAGCCCGCCCGCCCTCGCTTGAGGGTTTAATTTCAGAGTTCGACGTCTGTGCCGTCTGTGCTGCCTGCAGTGGCCATCGCCACTCGTGTCGTGAGGCATGGCGTCTTGCCATCGCCACCGTCAGCTTTTCTAAGAAGGAACGCTATGGCCACGGCGACCCTCCTCGGCATCATCATCATCGTCGCAGTACACCCCTCACACGCTTCGCGGCGTCATATGGAACTCAACCGAAGGCCCCAGTGCTAACGCCCGCATGCGCCCACCCCGCGCAGTGCAGGGTTCCGTGGCCCCATAGGGAGCTCCACCGAAGGCTCCAGAGCTACTGCCCGCATGCGCCCCCCTCCCCAGTACAGCGCTTCGTGGCCCCATGCGGAGCTCCACCGACGGCCCCAGTGCTACCGCCTGCATGCGTTCTCCCCGCGCACTACAGCGTTTCGTGGCCACATAGGAGGTTTTACCGACGGCCCCAGTGCTACCGCCCGCGTGCGTCCCCCCCACCCAGTACAGCGTTTCGTGGCCCCGCAGGGAGCTCCACCGACGGTCCCAGTACTACCGCCCGCATGCGTCCCCCCACCCAGTACAGCGTTTAATTGCTCCATGAGGAGCTCCACCGACGGCCCCAGTGCTACCGCCCGCATGCGCCCCCCCCCCCCCCCCCCAGTGCAGCGTTTCGTGGCCCCACGGGAGCTCCACCGAATGTCCCAATGGCATCGCCCGCATGCGTTCTCCTCACACAGTACAGCGCTTCATAGCCCCATACTCACGCAGGACGAAAGATTTTCCTCTTGAGGTGAAAATGGCCATGAGGAGTTCGCGAGACAACGTCGGCGCCGCCGAACGGACGGCGACCGGACGATCTCTTTGAAGCAATCGGGGGGGGGAGGGATGTATGTCTTCATGTTGAATGGGGCCTGCTCGCGTGAGAGTGCGCGAGACGACGCAAGGCCCATCGTGGAAAGTTGATTACCCCCCATAGAATCTTAACACGGGCGGTGTGCGGAGTCCGCGGATCCGATTTCATCCGGCCCCCTGTCTTAATTGAGCCATATCAGTTTTAAGCATAATAAAAATCGGTTCCGCCGTAAAAAATGCTACCGGACACGGATCCAGCTAATCCGAAATCGGATCCGTACAGACGGAAGTCGGATCCACCGAAACAAACCAAAACCACATTTGGATCCGCGCGAACTTCATGGGATCCGACGGCGGTTATCTCATACGGGTGTGATCAAGGCTTCACACCGTCGTTCCGGGCCCCAAAGGAAAAACTTTCGTCTTGGGGATGGGTGTTTTGGCCTTCGGACTTGTTGGGTACCATCTAGCCGACACACCACATCTCACAGGTAGTCCGTTGGGTGAGGAGACGCAGGGGCGAAACGCATGGGCGTTTTGGCCTTCGGACTCGTTTGTTACCATCTAGCCGACACACCACATCTCCCAGGCAATCCGTTGTTGGTAACAACATAGCCGTCGAACCACATCAAGAAAAACAAACCTTCGTCCTGGGGATGGGCGTTTTGGCCTTCGGACTCGTTGGTTACCATATAGCCGACACACCCCATCTCACAGGCAGTCCGTTGTTGATAACAATATAGGCAGCACGCCACATCTCACAGGCAGTCCGTTGTTGATAACAATATAGCCAGCACGCCACATCTCACAGGCAGTCCGTTGGGTGAGGAGACGCAAGGCCGAAACGCACTGGGCATTTTGGCCTTCGGAGTTCTGGGCGTTTTGGCCTTCGGACTCGTTGGTTACCACACAGCCGACACACGACATCTCACAGGCAGTCCGTTGTTGGTAACCACACCGCCGACACACCACTTGTCACAGGCAGTCCTTTGGGTGAGGAGAAGCAAGGCCGAAACGCATGGGCGTTTTGGCCTTCTGATTTGTTGGTTACCATCTAGCCGACACACCACATCTCATAGGCAGTCCGTTGGGTGAGGAGACGCAGGGGCGAAACGCATGGGCGTTTTGGCTTTCGGACTCGTTGGTTACCATCTAGCCGACACACCACATTTCACAGGCAGTCAGTTGTTGGTAACAACATAGCCGGCACACCACGTCTCACAGGCAGTCCGTTGGGTGAGGAAACGCAGGGCCGAAACGCACTTGGCGTTTTGGCCTTCGGACTTCTGGGCGTTTTTGCTTTCGGACTTGTTGGTTACCACGCAGTCGACACACCACATCTCACATGCATTCCGTTGATGGTAACCACACAGCCGACACACCACATCTCACAGGCAGTTTTTTGGGTGAGGAGACGCAGGGCCGAAACGCACTGGCGTCTTGGCCTTCGGACTTGCTGGTTACCCTCAAGCAGACACACCACATCTCACAGCCAGTCCGTTGGGTGAGGAGACGCAGGGGCGAAACGCATGGGCGTTTTGGCCTTCGGACTCGTTGGTTACCATCTAGCCGATTCACCACATCTCCCAGGCAATCCGTTGTTGGTAACAACATAGCCGACACACCACATCAAGAGGAACAAACCTTCGTCCTGGGGATGGGCGTTTTGGCCTTCGGACTCGTCGGTTACCATATAGCCGACACACCACATCTCATAGGCAGTCCGTCGTTGGTAACAATATATCCGGCACACCACATCTCACAGGCAGTCCGTTGGGTGAAGGGACGCAGGGCCGAAACGTACTGGGCGTTTTGGCCTGCGGATTTCTGGGCGTTTTGGCCTTCGGATTTGTTGTTGGTTACCACACAGCCGGCACACCACATCTCACAGGCAGTCCGTTGTTGGTAACCTCACCGCCGACACACCACATCTCACAGGCAGTCATTTGGGTGAGGAGACGCAGGGGCGAAACGCATGGGCGTTTTGGCCTTCGGACTCGTTGGTTACCACACAGCCGACACACCACATCTCCCAGGCAATCCGGTGATGGAGACAGCATAGCCGACGCACCACATCAAGAGGAACAAACTTTCGTTCTGGGGATGGGCGTTTTGGTCGTCGGACTCGTTGGTTACCATATAGCCGACAAAACCACATCTCACAGGCAGTCCGTTGTTGGTAACAATATAGCCAGCACGCCACATCTCACAGGCAGTCCGTTGGGTGAGGAGACGCAAGGCCGAAACGCACTGGGCATTTTGGCCTTCGGAGTTCTGGCCGTTTTGGCCTTCGGACTTGTTGGTTACCATCAAGCAAACACCACATCTCACAGGCAGTCCGTTGTTGGTAACCACGCCGCCGACACACCACATATCACAGGCTGTCCTTTGGGTGAGGAAACGCAGGGCCGAAACGCACTTAAGCAGGACGAGAGATTTTCCTCTTGAGGTAAGAATGGCCATGAGGAGTTCGCGAGACAACGTCGGCGCCGCCGAACGGACGGCCACCGAACGAACTGTTTGCAGCAACCGGGGGGGGAGGTATGTATGTATTCATGTTTAATGGGGCCCGCTCGCGTGAGAGTGCGCGAGACGACGCAAGGCCCATCGTGGAAAGTTGATTACCGACCCCCCCTTCCCCCATATAATCTTAACACGGGCGGTGTGCGGGGTCCGCGGATCCGATTTCTTCGGGTCCCCTGTTTTTCATTTAGTCGTATCACTTTCAAGTAACATGAATCGGATCCGCCGTAAAAAATGAGACCGGACACGGATCCAGCTAATCCGAAATCGGATCCGTACGGACGGAAATCGGATCCACCGAAACAAACACCAAAACCACAATTGGATCCGCGCGAACTTCATGGGATCTGACGGCGGCTATCTCATACGGGTCAACTCAAGACTTCACACCGTCGTTCCGGGCCCAAGAGGAACAAATTTTCGTCCTGGGGATGTAGGGAGCTCCACCGACGGCCCCAGTGCTACCGCTCGCATGCGTTCCCCCACCCAGTACAGCGTTTCGTGGCCCCACAGAGAGCTCCACCGACGGTCCCAGCGCTACCGCCCGCATGCGTCTTTCCCACCCAGTACAGCGTTTCGTGGCCCCATAGGGAGCTCCACCGGCGGCCCAAGTGCTACCGCCCG